GCATCCATCCTCAGGAGATGATGGGAGCCCTTCATCTGGATGGGGGTTCTCAGAAAGTTAAGAGCTCTTTGGTCCTCCAATAAACAGAGCTCATCCAAAGAAGGTAAGAGACTTTCCTGAGGCCACGCAGCAAGGCAGGAAGGCAGCTTGGATTGGAACTCAAGTCACCACGTCCCCTACTTTATTCGAGACAAAACTGAGGCTCAGAGAGGGTAAGACCGTTGTGCAAGGCCACACAGAGCAGGAAGAGTCCTCAGGGAAGGTCACCTTCAACCCCTACTTCATACAAGGACAAACTGGAAGCACAGAGAGGTCAGACACTGCCACTCTTGTTTTTGCACATGAAACATCTGAGGCTCAGAGAGGTTAGGCAGTTTGCCTAAGGCCCCACAGCAAAGATCAGGGCTCCCTGAGTTCCCTTCTGCACCCATTTCCCCGGCAGGTCCTGCTGTGGCCCTGAAGCTCCTGCGTCGAGACATGGTCCTGAGAACCACCTTTCTGAGAGAGTTCTGTGTGGGCCGCTGCGTCTCATCACACCCAGGCTTACTCCAGACCCTAGCAGGACCTCTGCAGACCCCCCGACACTTTGCCTTTGCCCAGGAGTATGCACCATATGGAGACCTCAGCGGGATGCTGCAGGAACGGGTGAGGCAGGTTGGGGACAAAGGTCGGGACTGCTTATCCCATGTACAGCTCTGTCCCTAACCCACTCCTATCACCAATCCTGACACCCAAACCCGTCTTCAAGCTCGCTCTGTCCTAACCCCCCAGACAACCTCCTTATTTCTAATTGTCAGTGCAATCCCATGCCTAACTCTAACCTTAAGCCACCCGACCACTCAACGCAGGTTTGCACGGGCAGGGGGTTGGATTTGGGGTTGGGGATGAAGTTAGGGGTGGGATTTTAATTGGCACTGGGGTTGGGAGTGTGGGAGTGGGTGAAGTTGGGTGGGTTGAGTTTATGTTTGATTATAGAATGGTAATGGGTGTGAAAAGTATTGATGGGGTTGCAGAGTGAGACAGGGATGGGTAAGGATATGTATACAGACTGAGTTGGAGATGGGCTGTACTGAGGTTTCCTCTGGTGAGGAGACCAGGTCAGGACTGAATCCATGAGATTCTGGGGGCACATGAGTTTGAAGATTAGAGTGAGACCATCTTTAAGAATAGATTTTGGATTTGAGATAGGGCTGGAGATAAACAGATGGAAAAAGAGAAGGGAGGGAGACAGATGAATGGATGGATGGATGGGTGGATGGATGGATGGTTGGAAAGATGCATGGATGAAAAGACGGGTGGGTGGAAAGATCGGTGGGTGGGAGGATGGATGGATGGGTGGATGGATGGACGGATGGATGGGAGACAGATGAATGGATGGATGGATGGGTGGATGGATGGACGGACGGATGGATGGATGGATGGACGGACAGATGGACGGATGGATGGATGGATGGATGGGTGGGTGGGTGGATGGGTGGATGGATGGATTGAAGGATGGATGGGTGGATGGATGGATGGATGGATGGACGGACGGATGGATGGATGGGTGGATGGTAGATACATGGAAGGAAGCAAGGAAGAATGGATGGATTTTGGTTATTAAATATTTGAATAAATCACTGGATTGCTGACTTGCTGGTGGAAAGGATGTTAAGCAGAAACTCTGCTGTGTAGATTGTTGACTGGATGAGAGGTTGGATGGATGGATTGCTGACTAGCTGCCCGGCTAGCTTGGTAGATAGATTTCTCAATTGACTGATGAAATAAACTGACTTTAGATTGGGGTCTGAGTTAGATACAGGATCTAAATTAGTAGGGACTAAGCTTAGGATAAAATATGAGATTTGGGTTCCCATTGGAGATCTGGGTGGTAGGGCTAGAGGAGATAAGAAATGTAAGGAGTGGGTCTGAGTATCAGGGTTAGGAGAAACCTTGGTGGAAGCTAAAAGAGCTTCTGGTTCAGTCTGGGGTTCCAGTGACGACATACGTGGGGGTTAGAGTGCAGGGCGGCTGCAGATTGTGGCTGAGGATAATCTGGAGAAGGTGTTAGGGGTGCGGTGGAGACACTAGAGGTAGCCACTGGTCTGAGGTTCTGAATTCTTGAACCCCAAGAAACAAAATAAAGAAGAAGCCTGACTTTCATCTCTCCTTGACCCCAGGGCCTCCCAGAGCTGCTGGTGAAGAGGGTGGTGGCCCAGCTAGCCGGAGCCCTGGACTTCCTCCATGGCCGGGGGCTGGTCCATGCGGATGTCAAGCCAGACAACGTGCTGGTCTTTGACCCTGTCTGCAGCCGTGTGGCCCTAGGTGACCTAGGTCTGACCCGGCCCGAGGGCAGTCCAACCCCTGCCCCACCAGGGCCACTGCCCTCCGCCCCACCCGAGCTCTGCCTCTTGCTGCCACCTGACACCCTGCCCCTGCGCCCAGCGGTGGACTCCTGGGGTCTGGGGGTGCTTCTCTTCTGCGCTGCCACTGCCTGTTTCCCTTGGGATGTGGCACTGGCCCCTGACCCCGAGTTCGAGGCCTTTGCTGGCTGGCTGACCACCAGGCCCCAGCCGCCTCAACCACCACCCCCTTGGGACCAGTTTGCTCCCCCAGCTCTGGCATTGCTCCAGGGGCTTCTAGACCTGGATCCCGAGACTAGGAGCCCTCCGCTGGTTGTCCTGGACTTCTTGGGGGATGACTGGGGGTTAGAGAGGAACAGAGAGGGGTCTGGGGGCTTGGGGGACATGTCTGGTGAAGATGGGGAGGAGGAGGAAGAGGGGGGAGCGAGCCTGGAAGAGGGGACAGAGGAGGAAGAGGAGGAGGAGGAGGAGGAGCAGGAGGGCAAAGGTGGCAGGAGGATGGGGACAGATGGGGGAGCTCCCTGACCAGGTGACTGAGACAGGTGGCCACAGCCTGGGCCAGAGGCCCCTCCCGCAGCCTCCCTCCCCCAACCCTGGCCACCTGGATGGAGACAGCTGCTCCCGGGAGGACAGGGATGGAACATACTGCATCTCACCCTGCTGAGGGCTGGACTGGGGCGCACAATTTCCCTCTCAGCCGAGGACCCGAGAGCCCAAGACCTAGCCCCTCCTCCCTCAGACCCGGGAGTCTAGGCCCCCAGCCCCTCTTCCTTCTGTCCTGAATGTGTCTTCTTGAAGGAAGGCACTGTTTCCGCAGACACATTTCTGCAGTGCAGGGACATGCTGAATCCTCATCATGGACTTCTGACGGGGTCACTCATCCCCACCAAGACCCGGTTGACGCTCACTGTCCCTGTCACTAAATCTGGGCTTTCAGGATCTGACTGAAACCTGATGATGGACACCTCATCTCCTTCTCCCATTTCCCGGGGCTCTGGGTGACATATTGGGGAAGTCACTCCTTCTTTCTGGACCTAAATACACACACACACACACACACACACACACACACACACTTCCGGCAGCTACTTCTTGCGTCCTCCCCAAGAATGCCGTTGTCCGCAGCTCAGTGCCTCCAAGAAGTGGACCTCTCCCCAGGCCCTCTCCAGCCTCGGGAACTTTTATCCGGGTGACCTGTGTCTCCCATCTTTTTCGGCCTCACCTCCTGTGCTGTCCAGGATGGACTTGTTTTTGTTTTTGTTTTCTGTTTCGACATCCTTTCCGCTCCCACATGGCGAGTGCCCTGCGCCGGCTCCCTACGAGCACAGAGCACCAAGGTGTGTGACTGTCCCAGGCGTGTGGACCTCAGAGCCGTCCATGTGGAGGGCCACAGCTGCTTTGGAAGACCGTGCATTCACCTGGGCCAGGCTGGGAGCCGTGTGCCCCACGATGCACACGCAGGCACACATACCCCTTGCTTATGATGCTTCACACCTGCAGGGCAAGGGCTGCGTGCATCTGGCCTTGGCACCCGGCAGAGTCAGGAATGGGAACTGCTCCCTCCACGGGAATCTGTCCCTCGTGCCTTCTAGACTTAAACACGTGGGTCCACCAAGCACAGTGTGGTGTCCTGGATTGGACCCAGGGACAGCGTAAGGTTGTTGGCGGAGGCGTCTGAGTGATGATTTCTTTGTTTGGACAAATGTGGGGTCGTTGGCTGTGTCAGATATCAACCTGGTGGGGAGCGGGGGACGGCCCGGCAGTTCTCAGCACCATCTTTCAGGCTGTTCTGGAAATCTAAAGTTATTCTGAAATAAAGGTTTATTAAAAAAAAAAAAAAATGAAGTGAGTCCACAGTGGTCCTCTTGCTGTAAACCTGGCGAGGAGATGTGACATCCCAGGCCCCCGGCCCCTCCTCCCTCAGACCCTGGAGATTCTGCCTACCCCCTCCCTCCAACTTTAAAGTCTTCGGATTCAGAACGCAGACCTCCCCTCCCCTCCCCTCCCTTCCCAGTTGCTCCACCACCTGCTTCCCCTCTGCCCCAAGTCTGAGATCATCTCTCACTGCATCGTTCTGGAATCTCGTTGTCTCATCCTTTCCCCAAACAGGACCCCAGTGTCTCATCCCCTGGACACCCCTCACCAAACACTTGTGTCTGACCTGTCAATGGGGCATTGATGGGGCAGCTGGGTGGGGTCAAGGCAGGGGCAAGCAAGAGAAATGATGTCATCCTCTACAGTGGCCCGGACTCCTGGGTCTGAGGGAGGGGGCACTGGGGTCCTAGAGTCCTGGGTCTGAGGGAGGAGGATCTGAGGGAGGAGGGGCTGGGGGCCTGAGCTTCTGGGTCTGAGGGAGGAGGGGCTGGTGGCCTGGACTCCTGGATCTGAGGGAGGAGGTGAATGGGAGCCCGGACTCCTGGGTCTGAGGGAGGAGGCGCTGGGGGCCTGGGCTCCCAGGTCTGAGGGAGGAGGGGCTGGAGCCTGGACTCCCAGGTCTGAGGGAGGAGGGGGCTGGGGGCCTGGGTCTGGGACACATTTCTGACAGCAGCCAGTTCTAGGAGTCAACACACGATGTCGCTCTGGCCCCAGTGGGGTAGAAGGGGCGGGGCCAGGGGCGGGGCCTACGACCCCCTAGGTGGGGGCGGGGTCTGCTCCCGGGCAGGCCTCTGCTGGCATGGGATCTAGTGCTGGGCACTGACCACAGCAGGCAGCGAAGGGTCGGGCAAGCTTTGGAGAAGGTGAGGCTTGGAGGCCGGAGCCCAGGTCAGGAGGAGGCAAGGGTTAAGCCGCGTGAGGTGGGCAGCACCTGATAGTGAAGCCGGGCAGTTGGCCACAGTCCTAGGTCCGTCAGAGGGCCGGGGCTGAACTTTGAGGCCGTAGGGTGGTTGAATGTTAGGGAAAGAGAGTCTGGGAGTCAAAAGATGTGTGAGTCATATAAGGTTCAGGAGAACCAGGGGTGGGCTGGTGGTCCAGACTCCCGGTCTGAGGGAGGAGGGAGCTGGGCGGGGGGGGGGGTTGTTGGTCTGGACTCCTGGGTCTGAGGGAAGAGGTGCTGGAGGGACTGGAGTGCTGAGTCTGAGCGGGGAGGAGGGTGGTGGCCTGGAGTCCTGGGTCTGAGGGAGGAGAGGAGAGGGAGCCTGGAGTCCTGAATCTGAGGGAGGAGGGGCTGGGGCAGGACTCCTGGGTCTGAGGGAGGAGGTCCTGGGGGCCAGGACTCCTGGTCTGAGGGAGGAGGTCCTGGGGGCCAGGACTCCTGGGTCTGAGAGACGAGGAGTAAGGTCAGAGCTGGACCCCAGGTGTCTCAAGGACTTGGGGACTTCTCCCAAGTGCTTGCTCCCATCCAGGTCCCAGCGTCACCACGGCCCTGGCGTGCGCAGCCGCCCTCCCCAGCCCCTGGAGGCAGAGAACACCTGTTTGCTCTTAGGCGAAAGAGGCTACTCATCCACCCCCAGGGCCCAAGTCTGTTTGCTTTGGAAACAAGGTGGGGGGTGTCTCGAGTTATCTGGTTCATCTTTCACCCTTGGGCCATTGGGTGGCGCAGGGATGTGGGGGCAGGGGCGAGAGATATCTGTGACCTTCGGCTTGACCTCACCCCAACCCGCAACTGGTCTCCCCACTCCTCAGATGCGGCTAATGAAGAGAGAGACTGAGTCACAGTGGGGAGTGCCAATGAGCCCCTAGCCCCAGGAGTCTAGACCCCCCCCCCAGCCCCTTCCTCCCTCAGGCCCAGGAGGCCAGACTCGCAGCCCCTTGTCCCTTGGGCCCCAGGTCTAGCAGGACCTCGGCCCTGGGTCACTGTCTCTACTCTGCCCTGCAGAGATGCCCGGCAAACAGTCAGATGAGGAACAGGTGGAGACGGGGGCTGCGGAGAACTTGGCCGAGGAGGACCTAGGGGGCCTCACGGCAGAGGAGCTCCGGCAGGGCCAGGAGGCAGCCCTGGAGCTAGAGGACATGATGGCGCTAAGTGCCCAGACCCTGGTCCGAGCCGAGGTGGACGAGCTTTACCAGCAAGTGCGTCCCCTGGGCCAGGGCCGCTTCGGCCGGGTCCTGCTGGTCACCCATCGCCAGAAAGGTACCAGGGCCTGGAGACAGATACTGGAGGGGCAGAGGGTGGCGGACTGGGCCCCAGCAGAAGCTAGCCGAGGCCGGGGAGTCCGTAAACATGAACCAAGCGTTGCCTCTGCCCCTTCCGGGCTGTGTGTTCTTGGGAAGTTCCCTACCCTCTCTGAGCCTCGGCCTCCTCCTTCGGAAATGCGGGTGATGATTCCTTCTCTGGAAAGACTGTGTTTTTCTCTGAGCGTATGTCGATGGCTCGAGTTGCCGGTAAGAAAGGGGAGCAAGACAGAGTCCCTCCCTCTGGCGCTCACATGTGGCCAGCTTAGCGGTCGCCATGGGGATGATGCGGACTCATGCCGTCTGCCAGGTACTTAGCAAGGCTGGTGCACAGTGGGCCTGCAGGGAACACTGCCCCCACCCCCCGTCTGTTACCTTTCTGCCAGTGTGAACACATCCTCTGTCCTTCCCCTGAAACAGGGACAGTATGGATGGACTCGGAGTCGGTGTCAATTCGGGCTTCCAAGGCCACCTTGGGGGCTCTGCCCTGTCCTGGGTGGTTGCTGCCTGGAAGCCAGAGATCAGTCTGAGTCAGCCCTGCCTTCCAGGAGGAGCTCCAGGATGGGTAGGGACAGAGACAGTACTGGCGTGCTTGGGCGGCCCAGACAAGGCCCCACGGACTAGGGTGGCTGAAAACATAGGGATTTGTTTGCTCACAGCTGTGGGGGCCGGAAGTCCGAGACCCTGGTGTGGGCAGACTCAGTCTCCTCCAAGGCCTCTCTCCTTGGCTTGCACATGGCCCGTCTTCTCCCAGTGTCCTCACATGTGCGTGTCTGTGTCCAGCTTCCTCCTTTTATAGGGACGCCAGTCGCGGTGGACTGTGACCTCATTTTACCTCTTCAAGACCCTATCTCCAAATACAGTTATGTTCTGTGAAACTGGGAGTGAGGACCCCGACGTCAGGATTTGGGGAGGGGGGGTGCACGGTTCAACCCATGACGGAGAGACAGGCAGACAGAGATGCAGACGTGAGTCGTCGCAGAACGTCGAGGCACAGGCAGTAATGGGGACGCGGGGGGCGGGCACTGCTTCATTCGACCTTCTGGGTGCCCGCCCCACGCTGGGAGGCAGTGGGGGCATCGAGGTAGAGACCCAGAGCCCCTGAGGGCTCACAGCGCAGAGGGACGGGTGCCATCAAAATAGAAGGTGGCATGTGCCATGATGGCGGGAATCCAGGGTACTTGCAGACGGTCAGAAAAGGCGCCGCTGCATCCGGCTGGGGGGTGGGAAGGGAATGGTCAGCGTTTTAGGTGAGGAGGTGACCTCTCTCCATCACGCACGGCCTCCTGATGCAGGAGGCTGGGCCCTCACGGCTGCCGGGGAATCAAAAAATGGAAGTCACCAGAGTTCCTGGCTTCGGGGAACTTCGTTCCAGGAAATGGCTTGCGTGGGTGACAACCTCCTTAGGATTCCTCCTTGATCAGCTCGATTCCCCAGTGCAGGACGTCTTTTCTCCCATTGCCTTCGACGTGGCTTTTGTGCCCGGGGTTTTGTTGGGATGAGGGGCTTTGCAAACTAGGTCATGTGAGGTTCTGAGTTCGGTCTACGGGGCTCCCCTCCGTCCGCTCTGAGACAGCGGGGCAGAAACTCACCGAATGCCTGCATTATTACGGTCATTACCGCTGGCAGTGTTTTCGTGGCCATCTGGGGTGGGCAGGGTAGGGAGGCAGGGATTGGAAGACACGGCGACGGCATGCGGGGACGAGTCTGGGCTGAGGGGCTGGCAAGGTGACCCTGGGCTCTCACACTCCTTCCACACCTGTCTCTGCTGCCCCCAGGCACTACCCTGGCCCTGAAGGAACTCCCAAAGGCCTCCACGTCTCTCCGCGGCTTCCTGTATGAGTTCTGCGTGGGCCTCTCGCTGGGCACACATTCGGCCATAGTAGCGACCTACGGCATCGGCATCGAGTCCGCCACCTCCTACAGCTTCCTGACGGAGCCTGTCCTGTGTGGGGACCTCATCACCTTCATCCAGCCCAAGGTGGGTAGGTAGACCCTGAGCAGGCCTCCGAGGGTGTCCCTCTGGGGCTCAGGAGTGCGCTCACCGAATTGGGCTTCACCCAGCCTCACTGTAGCCCCCGAGGCCCCTCATGGGGCCTCCCTGGAGGAGAGAGAACCGACACTATCCCCCACTGAGATTCACCGGCCCTCATGGACTCACCCCAGGCCTCACTGGGTTTCACTGAGCCTCATGGGGGTCACAGGAGCCCTCACGGGGTCACACTAGGCCCCCCTGGGCCCATCGGGGTCACACGCTAGGCCTCACCGTGCCAGACTTATCTGAGGTCGTGCATTCTCCGGGGCGTCCCTGGGGCTGGGGAGACGCTCCCCCGGGGTTGGCCGGGGCGGGGCGGGGCTGGGCGGGGCGGGGTGGAGGGCCCTGACGCTGGTCCCCCGCAGGTGGGCCTCCCGCAGCCTGCCGTACAGCGCTGCGCGGCTCAGCTGGCCTCAGCCCTGGAGCACATCCACTCCCGCGGCCTGGTGTACCGGGACGTCAAGCCCGAGAACGTGCTGGTGTGCGACCCTGCCTGCCAGCGGGTCAAACTGACCGACTTCGGCCACACGCGGCCCCGCGGGACCCTGCTGCGCCTGACCGGGCCGCCCATCCCTTACACGGCCCCCGAGCTCTGCTGCCCCCCACCCCTCCCCGAGGGCCTGCCCATCCAGCCTGCCCTGGACGCCTGGGCGCTGGGGGTCCTGCTCTTCTGCCTCCTCACCGGCTACTTCCCCTGGGACCAGCCCCTGGCCGAGGCCGACCCCTTCTACGACGACTTCCTCATCTGGCAGGCGTCCGGCCAGCCCCAGGACCGTCCGCAGCCCTGGTTCGGCCTGACGCCGGCGGCGGACAGTCTCCTGTGGGGGCTGCTGGATCCTCGCCCCCGCAAGAGGAGCCCCGTGGGCTCCGTCCAGGACTACCTGGGGCGTCCCTGGAGGCAGCGGGAGGGGGAGGCTGAGGAGGTGGATGAGGGGGACGGACAGGAGGATGGAGAGTGAGCGGGCACAGCCTGAGCCCACCTTCCTGCAGAGACTCTGGAAGGGAGCCGGGTGGGCCCCACATCCTGAGGTCTCCTCCGCCTTCACGGGGTGGCTTGTGGCTTCCCTCTCACCTCTTTGCCCCTCTCAGCCTTCCTTTCCTCCCGCACGGGCATTCCGTGTCCCTCGCGTGGCCTGGGGGGCCTCCGTGTCACCGTCGCCATCTGCCCCGGGGCTTTGGCAAACGCCGTTGCCTTTGCCTGTGGTCTCCTGGCTCGTTTCCTCACCTCCCGCTCCTCAGTGAAGCCCCCCACCCCCCACCGGGCAGCCGCATGTCTTCACTCTCTGGCCCCCTTCCCTCTGTGACATACACGTGGGTCTGTGTCCTGCTGGGGCACAGGGGTCCAGCCTGTCCTGGGGGGTCCCCCACGTAGCTGTCGCTGTCCTGGTCCATAGCAAGGGGCCGGGGAATGTGTGTACAATAAACGAACCCGTCTGGTTTGTGTCCCTGTCTTCCTGCCCCGTCTTTCTCTCCTCCCAGGCTGGGCTTCACTCACTCCCACTGCCCTGTTCTTCTGCCTGCACGCCAGGCTGTCGCCCTCCTGATAATGTGTCCTCTCTTCTCTCACCCAACTTCATCTGGCACCTAGGTCTCCATGATGCTGTTGGTCTGTCACCTTGGGAAAGAGAAGGGCAATGCACATGCTGGACCGTGTTGTCAGGAAGAGAGAGAGAGAGAGGGAGGGAGAGACAGAAAGAATGGCAGAAAACGGTCCCGTGTGGCCGTGCTGCGTGCCAGAGGCCAGCCGCACGCATGTCTGTGAGTGAGCCTGCTTCTGCAAGGACCTGTGTGTGAGCAGAGGCACTGAGCGTCAGAGCCATCCGTGGATAGGAGCCTGAGCCGGCCTGGAGCGTGGCCGTGAGCGTCTGAGCCCGTGGGGGGTTGGGGGGGGGGGAGACGGTGAGGGCATGACTGTGTCTCTGTGGATGATGTGATTGTGTTGCGTGTGTCGGAGCGTCTGAGCCTGTGTGTGAGGGGACTGGGTGGAAGTTTGCACGCACCTTGCTCCGTGCGTGTGGACGTCGGGCCTGTTTGTGTGTCTGCGAGACCTTGAGTATGTGTGTGTGCAGCAGGAGGAAAGTCACCCAGGCGCCACTGCCAGTCACCGGCCGGGCCCCTCTCTCCTTCACACCTTCCCCCCTCCACCCAGGCCCCTTCTTGGCAGCTGCCCTGTTTGCAAACACTCTGTCTTCCTCTCCTCGCCCTCTTTGGCCACCAGCCCAGAGCAAGGCTACAACTCAGAGCTGGATCGTGTGTCACTCTCTCCCAGGCCCTCACCACCCCCTCCAGTGCCCCTGCTGTGGCCTCAAGGCGCTACATGGGCAGGGGGTGGGGTTTGGGGTGACCCCCAAAGCCCTTCAATCTAGGTTCGATCCAGAGGACTAGGGACATGGCCCCTGTCCCAGGCAACCCAGGTGAGCTTATTGGAGTAGGGGACCACTGGAGAGAACCAGACAGGGCGGTGGATAGGGGGGGGGGGGGGGGGGCCATGATCAGGACCTCCTGCCATCTTATCCGTGAATCTGAAATAGCCTGAGCCATCACGCCAAGAATGTGTCCCAAAGAAGCTGGAGGTGGCTGGGGCAGGGTGGAGCTGGGTAAGAGGGGAGTGGAGATAGGAGGGGCAGGCAGGCCCCCCCCCCCCCAACCGGGCAAGGCAGAGGGTGTTAATTGGTGGCAGCAGCTGAGGATTAACTGGGAGTGATAATCACCCAGTCGGGGGCCCCAGGGCAGGGGAGGAGGACCAAGATTCCCAGGAAAGGCCTGAAAGGGGCAGGGGCAGTGCTAATTAATATTAGTTACTTATTAAATAAAACTTAATACTGATCATAAAACTTAACAGTAAAGAAGCCATGCTCCTCGAGCAGCAGCAACCCCCCCTCTGCCCGCTGCAGACACATCTGCCCGCTCGCTAGGACCCTCCCCATTTCACAGGTAGGAGCCACAGGGGCAGCCAGGGCAGCCAAGGTAGCACCTTGGGGGCAGGGGCAGGGGCGGAGCCAGGAGTCAAACCCAGATGGCATCTTCAGGCTGTCAGCACCAAAAGGGTCCCGCACAGCAGGCTGGGGTTTGTGTGGGCGTGAGTCAGCGTGAGGGAGTGTGTGTGGGTATATGTGTGTGCGTGAGTGTGCATGGGGGCTTGTGTGAGTGTATGCCTGTGGCTGTGAGGCAGACACTCTTTCCTGGGAGGACACGGGCATTGCGGGTCGGGAGTAAATGATGGAGATAGAAATGGGAGGTCACAGGAGCCTCCAGACCCACTGACACGTGTTGACGAGGACGTGGAGAAGTTGGGCCCCCGTGCCATGCTGGGGGGATGTGACACAGTGCAGCCACTGCGGACGACAGTCAGCAGTTCCTCAAAACATTAAACACAGAATTACCACGTGGCCCGGCAATTATGCTCCTAGTATGTGCCCACAGGAAACGAAAACGTGTGTCCACACAGATACTAACAGCAACGTTACTCACAAGAGCCAAAAAGCGGAAACCACCGAAATGTCCATCCACAGATGAGTGGATGAACAAAATGTGGTCCATCCATACTCTGGAACATTACTTGGTCATGAAAAGGGACAAAGGGAGCACTGATACATGCCACAGCGTGGACGCACCTCACAAACACCACGGGAAGAGACAGGCCAGTCATGGAAGATGATCCATCGTAGGATTCCATTGTGGAAATGTCCAGAATAGGCCAATCGACAGAGGAGGAAATACTGGTGGTTGCTGAGGGTGGGGCTGTTGGGGACAATGGGAAATAGCCACTAAGGGGCACAGCGTTTCTTCTTGGGGGTGGTGATGGTGGTGGACACGTTCTAGAATTAGATGGTGGTATGTGGTGCACAATTCTCTATGTTAAAAGCCACTGAATTGTACACGGAGAAAGGGTGAATTTTATGACATGTAAATTTCATCTCAATGAGATGAACAACAACAACAACAACAACAAACAAAACACCACAAAACAGGCTTTTCCCAGGTTCTCATGCCTTGATCGGTTTTCTTTCCTTCTCCGGCCCCTGAATCCCCATTAAAGAGAAAGGAAAAAGCCCTTCTGTCTTTGCAATAGCTCTGAATTAATCACAAACCAAGACCTTAAATTCAGGACCCACTCCCTACTCCTCCTCCGATTTACAGAAAAGACAGTTGAGGCCCCGACAGGGAACACCCTACTTTCCAAAGAGCCCGAGTTCCGTCCCAGCTCTGGCCTGATTCCACAGTCTTTGTTCTTAAAACCCACCCAGCAATTCTGAAGTGTTCCCCGGGCCTGTGGCCACGAAGGACATCCTGCCCCCCACCAGCTGGGGAACCCCAAGCTTGCAAGATGGGCCATGTGGGTGTCCGGTGCAAAGTGAAAATGTGGAGTTTCTCGTTTAAAAAAAAAAAAAAAAAGTATTTCCGTCCTCTCTCTCTCCCTCTGCATGGGGATACTGGCTGGTAGATCCTCACGGGGATGGGACCAGGATCCAGCCACCAGAGCCCATTAGGGAAGTGACTTGGCCTGAGCCCAGGCTCGTGCTTCACTGTCCCATCCACCTCACTTACAAAACACAAAACGAAAACTCATGAGCAACGTCAGGACGGTTGCCGCAGAGAATCAAACCCTTGCGGCCGCACCCAACCTGCACCCTGCTCGCATGGAGGGGAGGGGGGGTTGCCTCGGGCCAGAGCAGGGCCAGCAGAGAAGCCTCTAGAAACAAGCTCTTTGGCACTAGTCTTCTGCAGTTCGGTGCTCGCACAGATATGCAAATGGCCTGGGCCATCCTTCTCACACATGAAGGCTGCCAGCCATGAATCACCTGCCTCCCTGTTAACAACCCAGATTCTGATCTGGTGGGTCTGAGGCGGTGCTGGTGAGCCCCATGCCGCCAGAGCACGGTTCACACTTGCTGGTGCAAGGGACACAACTCAAGAGTACTGATCCGGGGGCGCCTGGGTGGCGCAGTCGGTTAAGCGTCCGACTTCAGCCAGGTCACGATCTCGCGGTCCGTGAGTTCGAGCCCCGCGTCGGGCTCTGGGCTGATGGCTCGGAGCCTGGAGCCTGTTTCCGATTCTGTGTCTCCCTCTCTCTCTGCCCCTCCCCCGTTCATGCTCTGTCTCTCTCTGTCCCAAAAATAAATAAAAACGTTGAAAAGAAAAACAAAAATTAAGAGTACTGATCCTGCACCCTAGCTGAACTCTTACTAACACCAATCATTTGTGCACTGGATTCTTTGGGGTTTTCTGCACGGACAGTCATTATTGCCCACAGGAAAGGACAGATCTGTGTCTCTCTGTCCGCCCTTTGTGTGATTAAGGAAGTCCCCTCTTCTCCGACTCTGCTAAGAGTGTATGTGTGTAAACCATGAATGGGTGTTGAATTTTATCAAATGTTTTTTCTGCATCAGTTGACCTTGCTAGGCCTCTGCAGCTACTGTTCTGGGCCTGGTGCAAGCTGGCGGGCACAGCAGAGGGCTCAGCCGTCCCGTGGGAGGTGTCCAGGTCAGGGCCAGCAGTAGGTGGAGGCTGGCCATCCACCCTGGCCTTGGGCCCCGGGGCCAGATGTTTGGGCTTAGCTGCCTGGCCAAGCAGGGATAGAGTGACCGGATAATTAAGCACTCGCCTCTTTGGGGCTGGCGGAAGGCAGCAGAGGGTGGAGGGACCTTGGGCCAGAGTCCCCTCCCCAACTTCAGCCCACTGACGGGGGAGCCCGAAGCCTAAAACCCCGTGGGGCCCTCTGGGGGGGACCCAGAGTTGGGGTGCACCTGCTCCAATCTACAAATGGGAAAGCAGACCTTTTGCCTCCGAGTTGGTGTGCAGTCTTGTGAGCCCCTAACTACCCAGGAGGGAAGGGGAAGGCAGGCAGAGGCCCCCCCCTCAGCCCCCTCCTAGTCTGCCAGTCAGCAGTTCTGTAAGTCTGGGGCTTAATGAGACCCAGGGAACAGAATTCTCCGCGTGCTCCTTAGCCTGTTGACGGGGGCAGAGAGTCCATCAGGACCCCCCGACATTATCCCTCCCCACCCCCAACAAGTAACTGGACCCCGCTGGCCTTTGCAGGACTGTGGGGGCGCCAGCTCCATGACCTTCCAACACCTCTGAGCCAGGCTCCCAACCGGGGAGAGGAGGAGGAGGGAACCGTCTCCTGCCTGAGGCCACAGGAGCCGAATCAGAGCTGGACCTCTCAAGACGGTCCCCAGTTTACAAGCCGAGACCAAGAGAGGGGAAGGGGCACACCCAAGGTCACTCAGAGAGGGGCCATCATGGGAGTCCTAACGCAGAACCCCAGGCCAATGTCAAAGCAGGCGAGTATGCATTGTATTATTCTGGGTTTGAGTTCCTACTCTGCTGTGTGGCCTTAGGCAAAGAGCTTGCCCTCTCTGAGCTTCAGTGTCCTTTTTGAAATGAGGATCGAGTTCCTCCTGCAAAGGGCTGTGGTGAGGATGGAATGTAGTGTGTTAAGAGGGCACACTGGGTCAGGCACACAGAAGTGCATTCAGAAAGGGATCGTGATCATTCTTGTTAACTGAGCACATGATGTGCCGAGCTCTGTCCTAGCCCACACTACCTCATCTAATCCCCACAACTACCACCACCCCAAAGGCAGACACTATGACTATCTCTGTGCACCAGTGAAGAGGTGGAGAAAGTTCCCTTTCAGAGAAAGGAAACAAACCACCAGAGTCCCATTGCCTGGTCACGGTCTCGAGTCCAGGATACTCTGACTTATGAGCAAGAACCCTGGGTCAGACAAGCCTGGGTCCCAGTCACGGCTCCATTATGTATGCCCTGAATGACCCGGGCCCTCAGTGCCCTGATCCGTAAAAAAGGGGATACGTACAATAACAGCTATCCCAGAACGAGCACTTATCAAGAGCCAGGCCCTGTGTTATCCACACTTACATATGTGTTAATTTATCATTTAATCGGCACAGCAACCCATAAGGTGTGTCTTTATTATCCCTCCTTCATAGCTGGAAAAACTCACATCTAGAAATTAAGAAACTGGCTCAGTCTCACACGCACAAGGACTCAAACTCAGGCATTCAGGCTCCAAAGCTCACCCTGTCTCTGCTGAGCTGTGGTAACAGTACCCTCCTCAGCAGGTGTTCATGAAGATAAAGTGTCGTTAGGCACATAAAGCCCTGAAAACAGAGCCTGACCTAAAGGAAGTACCCAACAAATATTAGTCATTATTATTATTGTCATGTACTCACTCATTCAAAAGATATTTATGGAGTGTGTACCCTGCATCAGGCTCTAAGAGCCGGGCATACATCTGTGAATAGGACAAAGATTTCTGCCTTCATAGGGCTTCATCAGCTCCCATGGTGGCATCATCTTCATCACCATCATCTCCATCATGATTTTCATCACCATGATCATTACCATCATGCCCATCACCACTATTATTACCATCATCTCCACCATGATCTTCATCGCCATCACACCCATGACCACCATCATCATCTCCACCATGAACTTCATCGCCATCACGCCCATGAACATCATCATCATCTCCACCATGACCTTCACCACCATCACGCCCATGACCACCATCATCATCTCCACCATGACCTTCATCACCATCATGCCCATGACCACCATTATCATCATCATCTCCATCATGATCTTCATCACCACAATCATCACCATCATTCCCATGACCACCACCATCATCATCCTCTCCACCATGATCTTCATACCATGATCATCGACATCATGCCCACGACCATGATCACCTTCATCGTCATCATCATCACTTCCATTGTCATCATCACCACCATGATCATCTCCCACATTACTTCCATCACCATCATCCTTGTGACCACTATCATTGTCACCATCATGACCATCACCATCATCATTCTCACTACATATAGTCACTATGACCATCATGATCATCACCCATCATCACCAGCATCCTCATCATAAAATCAGTGCCTTGCATGGTGCCTGTGGCATTCATAAATCAAGGTCACTCTTGTGATTCCATCTCCCTGGGGTTCCCCTAGGTCCCCACAAATGTCATTGATATCTTGTTTTTAATTGGATACTTTGGTTTTCATTTTTTGATTGGGAGCATTTTAAGCCCCTCAAATCCCATATAGGGTCACACATCTCCCCTCAGAGGCCTTTCTTCCTCCTCTGGGGTGGTGGTGGTTGGTGCAGGTGTGCTGGGGGGCCAGGCTCTCTCGGCCAGTCTCTTTACAACCTCACCCAGCTGCCCCAGACCCCGGGTGGCCTCCACCAGCTGAGTCAGCCCCAGTTCCAGAGCTCGGCGCTGCTGCTGGTCCTGCTTCAGGACCTGGGTCAGCCTCTGCAGCTGGCCACTCACATCCCTCACAGCAGCCACTAGCTCTACCAGGGCAGGCGGCTCACAGGCCATGACCTTTACAGGTGGTGCTGGAGTCACACATGGGCCAACGGGGTCTGGGTCCTGCCCAGGGGTTGGCCTTAGGGTGAAATGGTCAGGAGGAGGTTGATCCAAGGGGTGGACCATGGAAGACAAATGGAGGTCAGAGGTCCCTGTGGGGTCAGAGGCTGAGTGTGGGGTCTGGGTGGGTGGTGGAGTTGGTTTGGGGCTCTGGCTTCTTGGTGGTTGGAAATCCTCAGTGGACAGTGTGTCCATGCTTGGGCCTGGAGAAGACCTGGGGTGGCTGGACTCTGAGGCTGGAAAAGGCGCTAGGCTGGACATCTGAGAGAGATGAGCGGCTCCCATGGAGGTCAACCAGGGGTGCAGGCTGGGCTTGACTGCTGGCACTGGAGTGGGAGAGAACTCTGTTCCCAAGGAAGTTAGAATGGATTTGACAGTAACCACAGGGGTTGAGGTAGGGTCAGCAGTCATGGTGGGATGAGTAGAGGTGGTAGAATGAGGGGTCATGGTGGAGTCAGGGGTCGTGGCAGGGTAACTGGTTGTGATAGGGTGGGGGGTTGTAGTGGGTTGAGCAGTGGTAGAATGAGGGGGTGTGGTGGACTGAGGGGTCGTGGTGGGGTATGGGGTTGTGGTAGGGTGAAGGGTTGTGGTGGGGTGAGGGGTTGTGGTAAGGTAAAGGGGTGTGGTGGGTTGAGGGGGTGTGGTGGGTTGAGGGGGTGTGGTGGGTTGAGGGGGTGTAACAGGTTGAGGGGTGGTGGTAGGGTGAGGGGTTGTGGTGGGGTGAGAGGTTGTGGTGGAGTGAGGCGTGGCGGTGGAGTGAGGTGTTGTAGTTGGGGGAAAGGTGGTAGTGGGTTGAGAGGTAGTGGAGGTAGAGGGGTGAGAGGTCAAGGCAGAGTGAGGGGTGGTAGTGGGGTAGGGGCTTGTGGAGGGGTCTGGGGATCTGGAATGATCTGGAACTGAGTTAGGGTATGGAGCTGTGTCCAAGTTTGGGCTTGTGACAGATTCTGTAGTCAACTCTGAGGTAGAAAAAAGGTGGGTCACCACCTCTGGTGCAGAGGGGTCAGAGGTCAGCTCTTTGGGCAAGGTGGGTGGTGGGGTAGGTGAGAGATCAGACTGCGATGCTGCAATCACAGTGGCGTCAGGAGTAGACAAAGTGAGGCCAGGGGTTGTCAAGGTGAGGTCAGAGCTCGTCCAGGAGGCCAGGTCCGGGCTGGGTGGCAAAGTGTCAGGAGGGTCAGAGGTCACCTTCCGCGTTGAAGCTGCCTCCGGAATGAACCATGGCACAGGGTTGGAGGTCACGGAGGTCACCGGTGAGCCCGGGGGCTCTGACGAAGCGGAGGGATCTGGGGAAGGGGCAGGGGGCACCGTCCGGGACGATGTGGGGCGCAGCAGCCTACGCTGGGGCCACAGTTCTCTCTCGGATCCTGGAGGAGTTGGAAAGACGGATGGCCCGAGGTCAGTCCGCCCCACCTACTCCCGCGGCCCGCCACGCCCCTCCAGGGAAGAGCTGACCAATGAGAAGGCGCAAGGCCTCGTGACGTCTTGGGTCACCGGCAGACTTCACCCACCCCCAGCGCCCCACCTCCCCACCTCCTGCAATGTCTCCAGGCGCCACCTGGCGTCTTCCACTGCGCATGAGGGACGCGACGGAGAGGGCTACCTCAGAAGGCAGGAGGCAGCGAAAATGTTGGGGGCAGCAAGACGGTGGGAGGACTGGAAGCTTGCAGGGAGATGCGAAAGTGTGGGGGACGTGGAGGCTTACCTGGGGACGCAGGAGGGGCCACAGGGGTATTTGGGGGAGGGATGTGGGAAAGGCCAGAAGGGGCAGAAGTGTGAGGGGGGATGCAGAGCGGTTCCAAAGCGCAATCTCAGTAATCAAGATTTTTATGTCAGTTTTAAGTAAAATTATCGCAAAAGATCCAAAAAAGAGACTCAGTTAAATTTTTGCCTTTAGTTAAATGTTTGATATTTAGCTCATTGTGGATGTTTTGCATTAATTTGTTATTTTTAAAATATAAAGGTATTATCTACCTTGATTGCTGAGTGTTTGGGCAGCCCCTCAAATTTAGGGCCTGAGTAGAGTGAGAAGCCTCGCCCTCCTTTCCTGGCCTAGCTTCCAGGTAAGAACGGATTGTATCCCTTTTCGCAGATGCAGGGAATCAGGCCTAGATGGTAGGTAACCTGCCACGGGTGGCACGGATACAGTTCACAAATTGCGGGAAAAGATGCGAAGCAAGGTCCTCTGCATTTAGAGTTTAGACCATTAAACATCACTTTCTCAGTGATGGAAATGATAACACGTGGCTACTGAGTACTTGAAGTGTAGCTAGTCTGCCCAAGAAAATGGTTTTGATTCATTTACACTTAAAATAGCCAGCTGTATTGGTAGCTACCATATTGAATGACACAGCGCTAGAGGATTCCAGTTTTCCTGTAGGATTTTTTTAGGTGCATCTTGTTCCTGCCTTGTGTTTACAACGTTGGAGAAGCAGTTAAGTAAAGGGCTTGGCCTCCAGCCAGGCTGCCTGGGCTTACACCCCGGCTCCATCGCTTCCTAACTAGGTGACTGTGGACAAGTCACAAAACTGTCTTGAATCTCGGTTTGTGGATGAGCTGTCCTGAGGACTCAGGGAGCTCATGTGTATACAGAGCACTGAGCACAATGCCTAGCACGTAATAGACACTCTCATGACTATTAATCCTGTCATAGGCCTTGATGTCTGTACCTCAATTTCTGTTTTCTGTGAAATGGGCATTAACACCTACATCATAGGGCTCATGTAGATGTTATGAGGGCTAAAGGGGTAATATATATATTGCTTAGAATAATAATACCTGACATGCGGCATATTGTTACAAATGTTAGCTGGTTTTAGTTACTATTTCAAGAATCTCAGCATGCTTATGTACTGTAGGGGTTCAGATATCTAGAGTGGTATGGATTTTTAATTTTTCAGACCCACGGTGCAGAGAGCTAAGCTAATCTTACTCCTGTGCACATTGTCACCAACAGTCCTGCAGGGTCTCCTCTTCCTTTTTCTCCTTTTTCCTCCCCGACCTCCATCCCTCTCACCTTCTCCCATAGCTACCTCCTTTAATGTATTTGACATACGTCCTTAAAGATATGTATGTTCTCACACAATATAGAATCCATATAAGTGCGTATGTTGATACATTAAGTGTACATGTATTTTTGTGTTTGTGCTTTGAGTTTTTGTAAATCACATTCTGCTGGAGCTCTCACTCTGGTTCTGACTTCCTTCCTCCATATCATGTTGTTCGTACCTACCATGAACTGTGTGTGTTGCTGTGTGTGCAGCTAGTCGTTCTTTTAGCTATTGCATGGATCCATCGTGTGCACCCATTGCATTTCTTGTTACCCACGGTCAGACACTTAACTTGCCTCCAACTCCCTGATACCACACCATTCCAAAGGACACCTTCATATATGTTTCCCTTATAAGCCTATTTAAGAATTTCTCTGGAATACATATCTAGGAACAGGATTGCTCGGTCATAATGTGCAATCATATTTAATTTCACTAAAATTTTTAAAAGTTTTCTGTATTTAAGTAATTTCTGCACCCAACGTGGGGCTTGAACCCACGATCCTGAGATTAAGAGTTGCGCGCTCTTCCGACTGAGCCAGGCAGGTGCCCCTAATTTCACTGAATTGTTTTTATCGAATCGCTGTATCCAGTGGGGATGTCTGTCTCCTTATGTCCTCACCCACACTTGATATTAGCTACCTTTCCATTTTTTTTTTCAAGCTTGTCATCATTTTAATTTGAATTTCCTGATTTCTTTCGAGTGTGAATGTTTCTACATAAACTTGTTGGCCATTTGGGCTTCCCCTTCTGTGAATCACCTGTTCATAACTCTTACCCATTTTCTTAGAGGGTTTCCTGTCATTTTGTTATTGATTTGTCAGAGTGAACTGCATAGTATAGGTTAGGGTTTCTCAAATCCGGGCATTGTTGACATTTGGAGCTGGGATTCTTTGTTGTGGGGGACTGTCCTGTGCAGAGTAGGATATGTAACAACATCCCTGGCCTCTACCCATTAGGTTCTAGTAGACTCCCTTCTTTTAGTTGTGATGATCCCAAACATATTCTGATATTGCCAATCATCCCCAGTTGGGACCACTGATGTAGATAATAACCCCTTGTTTCAGGGTGTATTTCTGTTGGGTCTGGGGGTGAGAGTGGGGTCACCACTGGGGAATGTGCAGTCCATCTCTGCCCCACAACACAAACACCCTGGTCCCTCGCCACAGCTACATGCCTCACCTGTGTCTCCACGGATCCTTGGAGCTGGAGAGGGATGGTCTGGGTCCCGGGTGGTGCCAGTGGTAAGAGTGGTGGGTGTCCCCTTGGGCAGAGCCCCTCCTGAAGGTGTATCCCATGTCCGAAAAGACTCATAACCATCCTTGTCACCTTAAGAGATATAGGGAGAACTGAGTCTCACTTCTCTTGATTTTGACCCTCTGTTCATCCCGGAATTCAACTCAGGCCTCATCCTGTGTCACCTGGACCACCACCCCAATCTCCTCCCTGCCCCCACAGCCACCCTGGTGACTCAGCTGAGATGCTTTCAACTACCAATAACAGAAACTGGGACTAAACTAGCTTATAAAATAAGAACAGTTATTACTTCGCTTTCCTGAAGTCCCTGCTCTTCCTCATTCTTTATTTTTTTTCCCAGGGGGAAAAAAAACCCTGTAATATATTTAGTAATGAACTACCAGGAATATTTCCATAATATTTTTCCTAGGTCTCTTAGATAATCTCTACGTGACAATTTTATATAACATAGAAATGTATAATATACAGCTGACCCTTGAACACTGTGGGTTTGAAATGTGTAGGTCCACTTATATGTGGATTTTTTTCATAAACACAGTACAGTACTGTAAATGCATTTTCTCTTCCTTATGATTTTAGTAACTTTTTTCTCTAGCTTACTATAAATTCAGTGTAATACATATATACATACACATATATTATATACATACATACATACATACATACATACAAAATGTGTGGTGTTTATGTTATTGGTAAGGCTTCCAGTCAACAGTAGGCTATTAGTAGTTAAGTTTTAAGGGAGTCAAAAGTTACATGGAGATTTTCAACTGCGTGCGAGTCGGTGCCCCTAACCCCCATGTTGTTCAATGGTCAGCTGTGTAATATAAAAATATGCCATTTTATAAATGTAAAAGATACCATTTTATATAGGGAGAATAGAAAGATTGAAATAAGTCTTCTAGCTTTTAACAATAGCTTTGTTGAGATATAATTCATATACCTTAAACTGTACAATTCAGTGGGTTTTAGTGTCTTCAAACTGTGCAACCATAAAGTCCACGTTCCTCATATCCCTTCATTAACTGTCCCTGCCCACCTCTCCAGCACCTTCCACACATTGCTGCTCACACTGGACCCCAAACCTTGAGGCGCTCAGAAGGATGGTGTCTGCCACCCTGGACATGTTTGTCCTGGTCGCCTTGAGCTCTGTGGCTAGCTGTCCCAGGTGCAGAAATCCCTGGCTTTGTCACCTAATACATTGCATGCTAACAGGACAAGGGTCTTCATCCCGATGCCCAGCATTGCAGATACTATAGTCATGTCTCCCTGTTAACTGTTCTTAAATACCTTCCCCATGCCTGATAAATACCTTAAGAGGATAGCTATGAAATCCTACCTGATGGTCATACTCATTAGGAATTTTAAAAAACATTAGCAGCACTATTAATTTAAAAAGTAAAAATGGAAAAAAGAGTTTAGAGGGAAAAAAAAAAACCATTAGCTGTGAAGATTTCTTCTCAGGATGCTGGGTTTTAGGAGGGCTCCATTAAGAACACAAATGGAAGCTCTCTTCCTGTTAAAGTGTCAGTCCCCCAGCTGCAAGCACACGCATTGGGTCTCTGTGTTCTTGAAATGTGCTCTAAGATATGGCCACCTGCTCATGGTCCATTAGTGTGTGATCGATTTTTTTTTTCATTGAAATATATGCATTTTTAATTGAAGCAGCAGCATGGCAGAGTTATAGCCCTCATGAGACCCAACCACATCACTTCCCTGCATCAGGGGGAGCCGCTGCTCAAAGTCCAGCTTATCATTGCCAAACATGTCTTGACAGCTTGGCTACAGAGGAAGTACTCCCCGACGCCATATTGTTTCTCCACACTTCCTACGATTAGTTTAAGACCACGCACATCCACGTATATCCCGTACATGTCCTTGGGCAGCTACTTCTCAGACGTGTCCCTTCCTAGCTGGGTGAACAAGCCACCAATTTCTCCACGACTCAATTTCCTCACCTGTAAAGTGGGTACCGTGGTGGCATCTACTGAATGGCATGTGATAAGCTTATTCTTGGAATTGAATCCATATATCTCTGGTTCCTTCTTTTTAACCTTTGGATAATGTTCTATTGTAGAAATACACATCTGTTGGTTCATCGACGCCCCTGTTCACAGAGGGCTAGGCTGTGGCCAATGTTCTGTGGTTACAAATACAACTGTAGTGAATTTATAACTGTGTCCCTGGGCTCATGAGTGAGAGCTCAACACCCAGTTGTACAATTGCTGTGTGAAAGGCAAATGCATCTCCCTAGTGTCAAACTGCTCTCCTACCCAGGAACAGAGTCTCATGCCCACCTTTATCCCACATCCTTGGTGCTGTCAGACATATTAATTGTTGGCAATCTCATGGGGAGAGGGTGGGTGGAGAAGCTGCTGTCTCACTACAGATGACCAAACTGAAGCCCAGAGAGGGCAAGGGGCTTTCCCAAAGTCACACAGCTAAGGCGCAGTATTAGGTTTCAGACCCACACAGGTCTACCTTGTCCTAAATGGAGACCTCTTTCCCTTGGGGTGCAAACTTGCCGAGTCTTCACTCCTTCCCTGGTGAGTTTTTATTCAACCTTTAGGATTTTATTCAAAGCCCCTCCCTTTTCCCCCTCGATGAAGTCATGCTTTGCTTTATGCTAACTCTGTCATATGCTCCTTCCCTGTCTCTATGGCTAGAGTGGCTAAGAGTGTAAATGATGGAGTATGAAGCCAAGCTCTGCCCTTTGCTGTGCTGGCCTCTCTGCACCTCAGTTTCCTTATCTGTAAAACGGTGTTAAGGATAGTGCTCCTCTCATAAGGTTCCGTGGGGAGGAAGTGAATTAAACCATGTGACACATGTAGATGGTGCCTGGCACATGGAGAGCATTTGATGAATATTAGCTATTACTGTTTTTATTATCATCCAACCTCTACATTTAATCCTGCATTCGATCTTGGGTCCTCTCCCCTCTGCACGGCCTCATGCAGCCATAACACACGGCAACAGCCGAAATCCATGAGTCATCCCACCTTCCGAGCTGGGTGTGGGAGGTCCGCTAGGCACGGCTGTCCGTCTGCATAGCCTCATCCATCCCCACAGCTTCAAATTCCATCTGTCGACTTATAGCTTCAGCCCAGGCACGCCTCAGAGCTCCAGGATTGCGTATCTAATGTGTCCACTTGAGTGTGTCCAATGCGTCCCCAGTGGATCTCTATTCCCACTGTGGTCCTCTGCATCCACCCGCAGTGTCCCCAGATCCAGTGGAAGGTGGGTTCCCATCCCCTACCTTCCTCTTCTCACACCCTATCTGGCCCATCACTCAAATACCTCAGCTCAAAACTCCCACAATACAGCTTACATACATCCACTTCTCCCTCAGTCTCCACCACCACCCCAGTCAAGACCACTGTCACCTCGCCATAGACCTCCGGCTCTCCCGCCATGCACTCTAGCTTCTCCATCCATTTCTCATCTGGCATCCTCAGCGACTGCTTTGAAAATACACATGTGATCATGTCCTTCCAAACTTAAAATTCTCCACCACTGCGTGCAGAACAAAACTCAAATTCTAGCCTCCTCTCCTATCACTCTCCCCCTGCCCGGCGCACTCTGCTCCTCCATGCTGATGTCCTTGCCCTTCTCTTAAGGTCATCACTTACAGGGCACTTTCTCAGTAAGGAATATCTTGCCCATCCTACTCTAAATTGTAAATCTCAGCCTCCCTTTCCCTTGCTCATCACTGCTACGTTCCCAGGGGTTAGTATTCGTGCCTGACACACAGTGGGCATTTAACAGAAAGTTAATGTCCGTGTCTCCAAATTCTGAGAAGCCTCAAGAAATGTTACTTCAGTGAACTCGGAAGTGAAAATCCAAGCTTTGTGAGCTTCAGCTAGACTTTGTCTAGCTTCGGCTGTATGCCGTCTCCAGACTCACACTGTGGTTTCTCATTCATTCATTCAACCAATCATTCGACAAACATTTAAGTTCCTGAGTCTCACAACACAGATTCTGTGGTAGATAGAATAACGCTCCCCCAGAGACGTCCATGCCCTAATCCCCAGAACCTGTGAATATGTTACCTAATGTGGCAAAAGGGATACTGCAGAATGTGATTAAAGGTCCAGACCTTGAGATGAAGAGATTGTCCTGCATCAGTCCAAGGAGACCCAATCCAATTGGGACAACTCCTTAAAATCAGGACAGAGAAAGATCTGAAGGCAGTTCGGAGAGACGCAACATTGCTGGCTCTGAAGATGGAAGAAGGGGCCAAGAGCCAAGGAATGTGGGCGCCTCTAGAGGCTGGAAAAGGTACAGCAATGGATTCTCCCTAGAGCCTCCGGAAGGAACACATCCCTGCTGACACCTCGGCTTTAGGCCCTAGGAGGCCCCTGTTGAACTTCTGACCTACAGAACTGCAAAATAAGTTTGTGTTGTTTTAAGCCACTAAATGTGTGGTTCTGTGTCAGGGTAGCAATACAAACGGACAGTTAAACACACGACAGAACTAAAAGTCCAGTGGAGATGACAATGGCCCAGACTGGCAGTGCAATTTTCTCAACGTCAGCTTTTTTGCTCCTCTGAGAAATCCCTTCCTCCTGGTGTCGGCTGCTGGGGATAATACCACTTCCTCTGTGAGGCTTTTCCCGATTGCTCTGCTAGAAAGAACGACTCCTTCCCCGGGATTGTTCATTTACGGTAAATAAATCTAACAACCAACGTTCTGTGGTTTTAAACTATTTCACACACATTTTGCTCGTTGGTTTGCGACCGGAGGTCACCCAGCTAGTTCTCATCTTGGTGGAGCCACAACCGGAACCCAGGTGGACTCGTGTTTTTCGAGGTCACCTTGCAGTGAGGACAGGAATCCACATCTATGCTTGCTCCCACTCCCCAGCTGGCCTCACTGTGAAGACGGTACACGTGACTACCCCGAGCCTCCCCCTGCAAAGTTCGACTTGTCGGTGCTCAAGCAATGCCTTCTCACCCCGCGCGGCCCCCCACCCCCTCCGAGGGAAGGGACTCCCCGCCCAGCGTGTGACCGTCTCCACCGCGAGGGGGCGCCATGGGACAGGCAGGGGTCCCGCTCCGGGTTGCAGAGAACAAGAGCTCTAGATCCCTGGCCACAATGCACCGAGGTGCAGCACCTCTAAAACTGGGCTGGACGGGCCCTGGCTCACAACTCGGGTTCTCCACCCTACAGCGCGGCGGCCCCTCGGCCTGCTCCTCCCCTCCCTCTCTCGCTCGCACCAGAAGCCCAGCCTCGCAGACAGGCGACCGCTCTAGAAGCCCCCGACGCGCCTCACCCGGCTTTTATTACCGCGGGCGGGGGCTGACCGGCCAATCAGGAGGCGCAGAGCGCCTGTGACGTCACACGGCGTGAGCCCGCCGGAGCCGGGCTCTCTCGCCAAGGGCCGCGGAGTGCGCGTGCGTGCTGCGCGCCACAAAAAGGCGGGAAAGGGGGCGAGGGGAGGGGCGGTCCTGAGGGGACGAGTCTCGCAGAAGAGGGGCAGAGGAGCGCGGGGGCACAGGCAGAAGTGGGGCCTTCAGGAGATGGGAGGGCACACGGAGAAGCAGAGGGCGAGAGCAGCCCGAGGCGCAGCGGGTGCGGCAGGCTGGACTGGGCGGCAAAGGTGGGGCTGGGGCAGGAGGAGACAGCCGTGAGGAGAAGGCGAAGAAGCCACCGTGCGAGGCAAGGAGCACGAGGGTGACAGGGAGCGCGAGGTGGTGGGGGGGGGGGGGTGTCAGATGGGGAAAGTAGTGACCCGGCCTGAGAAACAGCGGAACCCGAAGAGGAGGCGGAGGCGTAGAGTGTGGAAAACAGGCAGGCTGGGAACGTGCACTGGATGCGAACACGCGAGAGCCACGGGGAGCGGGAGGCGGACACGCGGAGATGCGGAGACGGAGGGGCGGCGTGGATGGGAGAGCGGGGAGGGCCGCGAGGATGGAGGGGCGCGTGCGCACGCACGCGGGCCGAGGAGAAACTCGCGAGAGCACCAACACGCACCCGGGGGCGGGCCACAGAGATGCCTGGGAGCGCGCTCACCCACAGGGACGCGGGCCGCAGAGAAACCCGCGACAGCACGCCACGCGCAGGGACGTGGGCCGCGCCAACGCTCACGAGTGCGCGCGCGCACGCGCACGCGCAGGGACGTGGGCCGCGCAGACGCCCACGAAAGCACGCGCACGCACGTGCACGCAAGCGCGAGGGCGCTGGCCCGGGAGGGAGGCGCCGTGAAGCCGGAGAGAGCTGGGCTGAGGCCCACGCCCCCAGGTGTGGCCACAGAGGTGGAAAGGACAGTTCCCGCTGCAGTGAGAGGGGCCGCGGGCCGAGCTGTGGGGCTGAAGGCCGCCCCACTGGCCAAAGGGAGGGGAACCCTCCATTCGGGGCTCCTCACCCCGCCACTGAACCACTCCCTGACCCAGACCGGAGCATGAGGGGAGGACCAAGTGGAGGGCGCTGGGGGGATGACAACGCGGTGACCTGGGCCAGCTGGGGCTGTCGGGGTGGAAGGGCCCAGGCTCAGGTGTCACTGCTGGTTGGCTGGTTTGCGGGGGGACCGTGGGCTCAGACCCTGCGAAGTCTGGTCTGATTCTCGGAGACACACGGTGCCTGGGGTGGGAATGTGGGGGGCGGGGGGGGGGGGGCGTCTCCTCTTCAAGCCTCTCCACGAAGAGTTCCAGAGGGAACGTTTTAGGGGCCCTAGGGCCACGGAAAACTTGCCTGGGGAGGCGCGCACAGGTCGATGATGGCCCCCTCCGCACCCTGGCCGTGCCCCTCACCTGTGTGTGGAAGACGCCTTGTTGCTGGGGAGGGTCCCCCTGGGGTTTTGGTGGTGCCCCAGGAGAGCATGTGTCCAGGCACCCCTGCGGCGGTGGTCCCCTTGGCCAGGTCCTCTCCCGAGGTGGGATCCCAGGTCCAGGGGGGATAATCATCCTCGTCGGCGTAGCCTTGGGAGAAAGTGGGGCATGGATTGAGCCCTGCCCTGTCTCCGAGGTCCTTGCTGCAGCTCCAAACTACCCTTCCAGAATCTCCTGCAGTGACTCTGGGTCCCCCACCCCATCCCCAGTACCAGTGCAGGTGAGCCCCACGTCTTCCTCGTGGTCACAGTTGTGCTGGCCCCATGCCCCAGCAGGGCAGTCACTCAGCGAGGCCTCGATTCCCTTGCAGCCCACGTCATCCAGCCAGATGGGGCCCGTCCCGGGGCCGTAGTGGGTTTTGCCCACTCGGGGCCGGACCCTTCCACAGCCCAGCTCCCAGCAGGCCACGGTACTGTCCCGCAGGTCCCAGCTGTCATCGCACACTGTCCCCCAGCGCCCAGCATGCCACACTTCCAGCCGGCCAGCACACCGGTTGGGCCCATCAGCCAGACGCACGCGGAACGGGCCTGCCGGTAGAAGGCCCCAAGTCAGGAGGGGTCAAGAGGGGCCAGCCTCACCTCTTGTGTTCCCTCCACTCACCTGATCCCCGAGTGGTGCTCCCAGTGGGGGAGGGGGCTGGGTCTTTGGGTGACTCTGGAGAACCCTGTGCTGGGATCTCAGCTGATGACTCCTTGGGGGTCAGAGGGATTCGCGTTGCGGTGGCCTCAGAGGTCACCTCTCGGGGGCCTTGAGTGGTTGACGTTGCCACGGCCTTAGAGGTCCGTTCTCGGGGGGCCCGGGGAGTCCGTGTTGCAGTGGTATGTGAGGTCATCCCGTGGGGGACCCCAGTGGTCAGCTTTGCAGTAGACTCTGAAACTGGTCTGTGGGAGGCCTCAGTGGTCAGGGTTGTGGTGGTCCGTGAGGTCAGTTCAAAGGGCCTCTGGGTGCCCAGGACCCTGGAATGTTTAGTGGTTGGCATCACGGGGGGCTGAGTGGTCGGTCGCTTTGCGTTTTTGGTCACCCACTTCTTAGTACTCTTGGGCATTTTCCCTGGGGCCTTGGTGGTGGTTTTCTCAGGAACGCTGGGGGTCAGCCTCGCAGAGGGCTTGGTGGCCAGCTCCCCGGGGAGCCAGGCATCCGGATCTCTACCCAGGCCAGGGATCCAGCTCCAACTGAAGGGGTCTGAGATAGAGTCCAGGCCAGGGGTCTCTGGAAGGTGCAAGGAGAGGACAGGGAAGATGGCGGACACCATAATGACAAGATTATCTGTCTACACCTCCCCTCTCTGCAATCACCAAGTTTCCGTTAATCCCTTCATTATTCATTCACTCATTCACGTGACAAACATTTGTTGAGCATCTTCGACCCAGGCACTGTGCCAGACCCTGGGGATACTGTGGCCAGCCAAATCTGGCCCCACCCCCTGCCTCCTTGTCTCGTACAGTGATGTGACTGGCCCTCTGTGCCCTTCTCACATCCGACCTGTCGTCCTCCTCTCTCTGGCCACGCGTGGCCTCACTTCCTGTGACTTCTCACTGTCCACCTCTCACCAGTCACCAGGGTGGTACCGGATCCGACAGCTCACTCCCCAGCTGAAAACCCTGCCGTGGCTCCCACGGCCTCCAGAGGAGAGGGAAAGGGCGTAGGTGCAGGGGCTCCATCGCTACGACTGCCACTGTTCTCTCATCTCTCGGATTAGCACTGTGTGCAGGAAAATGTTCACTGTGCCCAGAGGAAGTTTGGGCCCTTTGCCCCCCGGCTCCTGGGGCGACCAGAGAATCGGTACCCACGTTGTGCCATGGACAGGTGATAGGTGGGCAGGCACAGCTTGTAACCGAGCTCCTATACAAACCCTGCACACCGAGTCTGGGGAGCGTCCCTGCCCGGCAGTACTTTATATGTGCTGTCACATGTCGCATGACTCCCCTGGGAGAGGGTGGCTGGAAGCTCCGTGAAGGTCTCTCCTGAGCCTGCCCCCTGTGCTGCCTCCCTCGGCTGGCTTTTAAGACAGCTTTTCTGACTTTTGTGAGTCCTTCTAGGAAATTACGGAACCTGAAGTTGGTCTTGGGGACCTCCCAAATGGTAACATGTCACACAGGTTTGCAGTGATCTGTTGGTACATCTTTGCGTCAGTGAGCTGCGAGCTTCCCAAAGGCCGGGACTGTGTTCTTTGCATCCGGAGGCCCCAGCACCTGGCTCAGTGCCTGGCCCTCGATAAATGTTGGAAGCGAACGGCGAACACGAAGCCTGATTTTACTGCAGCTGGCCCTCACTCTGGCTTCTGTGCATCTCCCAGTGGCCCTGTCTTCACTTCCTTTCATCTTGGGGAGCGTTCTTGGGAATGGGAGGAGGAGAAAGAATCCCAACTCTGCCACTTCGTTGCCGTGTGACCTTGTGCAAGTTACTTAACCTCTCTGTGCCTCAGCCTCATCGTGTAAATTGAGCATAACATCCACTAACTTGGACCTATTGTGAGGTCACGTGTGTGAAAACACCCAGCCCAGGGCCCGGGCTTAGGAGACGGGCATTCAGTAGATGCTAGTGCAGATGGTAGTTCCCATTCCCTCCTCCAGGAAGCCCTCCAGGAACTAGTGGGTGGCTAGGGCCTCCTTACCAGTGCAGGTGACTCCAACATCTTCATTGTGAGCACAGTTGTGCTTCCCCCAGGGTGCAGCGGGGCAGTCGGAGAGCGAAGCCTCGGTCCCCAAGCACCCCACGTCGTCCAGCCAGATGGGGCCGGCCCCCCAGCCAAAGCGGCCAGCGGCAGGGTCCGGCTGCCGAGCTCCGCCACAGCCCAGCTCGCGGCAGACCACCGCAGCGTCCCGTAGGTCCCAGCTGTCGTCACACACCGTCCCCCAGCGCCCTGCGTGCCACACCTCCAGCCGGCCCGAACACCTGCTGGGCCCTGCCACCAGGCGCAGCTGGGGGGAGCCTAGGATGGAAGAGACCCGAAGGATGGGAGTCAGGAAGCCGTCCAGCTCTCTGTGTCCCTCCACCTGCCTTCCATCCAGCTGCATGTTAGTCCTCCGCTGTGCCACCGTCCGCCTTAGGCACAGGGATAGGGTCGGGCACAGTCTCGGTTCCTCAAAAAGTTAAACACAGAATTACTATCCCACTCCCCAGGATATACCCCAGATGAAGTGAAAATGGCTATTCACACAAACGTTCACAGCGGCACTCTTCTTGGAAACAGCCCAAACGTCCGTCACTAGATGAAGGGACAGCAAAATGAGGTATGTATACACACAGAACGGAATATGATTCCACCTTGAAAAGGAAGGGAATTCGGGGGCACCTGGGGGGCTCAGTCGGTTAAGCCTCCAACTTCGGCTCAGGTCATGATCTCACTGCTCGTGAGCTCGTTGAGCTCGTTGAGCCCCACGTCAGGCTCTGTGCTGACAGTTCCGAGCCTGGAGGCTGCTTCGGATTCTGTCTTCATTTCTCTGTCCCTCCCTCATTCGCGCGCTCTCTCTCTCAAACATAAAATAAGACAAAACTTTTTTAAAAGGAAGGGAATTCATGGGGCGCCTGGGTGGCGCAGTCGGTTAAGCGTCCGACTTCAGCCAGGTCACGATCTCGCGAGGTCTCGCGTGATCTCGCGTGAGTTCGAGCCCCGCGTCGGGCTCTGGGCTGACGGCTCGGAGCCTGGAGCCTGTTTCCGATTCTGTGTCTCCCTCTCTCTCTGCCCCTCCCCCGTTCATGCTCTGTCTCGCTCTGTCCCAAAAATAAATAAACGTGGAAAAAAAAATAAAAAAAAAAATAAAAAAAAATAAAAGGAAGGGAATTCAGACACGTGTCACAACATGGATGAAGCTGGAGGGCATTCGCACAAATACTATGAGGTCCCCAGAGGAGTCCAATTCATAGAGACAGAAAGTAGAAGAAGCCAGGGGCTGGGGGACTAAGGAGTCCGTGTTTAATGGGTTGGGGTGTCTGTCTGGATGACGAAAAGGTTCTATAGCTGGATGCTGGTGGCCGCACGACCTTACGAATGTATTTAGTGCCGCTGAACTGTACGCTTACCAGTGACTGAAATGGTCAATTTTATATTATGTATATATTGTACCATAATAAAAAAAGAGAATATGGGCCCTGGAACAAATTGCTTTCGTTGGAGTCCTGGCTTTCCCATATATATATTTTTTAATTTTTATAACGTTTATTTGAGACAGAGAGAGACAGCATGAACGGGGGAGGGTCAGAGAGAGAGGGAGACACAGAGTCTGAAACAGGCTCCAGGCTCCAAGCTGTCAGCACAGAGCCCGACGCGGGGCTCGAACTCACGGACGAGATCATGACCTGATCATGACCTGAGCCGAAGTCGGACGCTCAACCGACTGAGCCACCCAGGCGCCCCTCCCATATTTTTTTAATCACGGAGTTTCATGAGTGACACAGAGACCAAACAGCACCCAGGGCCCGCGTGGCTGGGAGCGTCACCTGGCGTAGACACGTAGAGTACTTGGAACACAAGCCAGCGAGTGCTGAGTGAATGCTCGCAGTTGTCGTTCAGCAAAAGGGGAAAGAGGCCTCCCGTAGGAGAACCAATTTTCCCCTCCCTGCGGCCTTTCCCACCCTCGAGGAGACAGCTGCACCAACCCTGCCTTCTTATTTTCTGTGTTTCTCCTGCTGTGGCGTCGGGCCTTGCTGACCCCGACAGACTGTCCCTCGGAGGGTTGGCTGATTCCTAGAGACGCCGCCGGAGCGTGCCTTGTCTGTGCAGGCCAGCCTGTCTGGGGGGGGCCCCCCCCCCGCCGCCCCCACGCGGCTCTCACGCTCGGGGCCACCGGCCACCTGCCCTCAGCCCCCCCAGGGCCGGGTGCTCCACAACCAGGGGCAGCCCCTCCGCCCCACGGCTCCCTGAAGTGATTCCAGCGAGCCGGTCCTGACTCTGCCCACCTGGCCTTGCCCGATCCTTCCCACAGAAACCACAGTCACGGCTCCTGCTGGCCTTTGCCCCTCGCTCCCTCTGCCTGCTGACCGCCCCTGGGGCTTCCCTGGGTGGTCTGCCCCGGGGTGGGAGAGAAACCCGCTATCTTTCCAATGACGGTCCCGTCTTGATCGGCTGGCTGCACCGCCCCCGAACACTACTAACACCAGTGTTTAAAAAATGACAACTACTGGGGCACCTGGGTGGCTCGTTTGGTTAAGTGTCTGGCTCTTGATTTTGGCTCAGGCCGTGATCTCATGCTTAGTGGGATTGAGCCCTGCGTGGGGCTCTGTGCTGACAGCTCAGAGCCTGGAGCCTGCTTGGGATTCTTTCTCTCCTCTCTCTGCCCCTCCCCCACTAGCTCTCTCTCTCAAAAGAAGTAAACATTTAAAAAATCAAAACGAGGGGCGCCTGGGTGACTCAGTCAGTTAAGCCTCCGACTCTCAGCTCAGGTCACGATCCCACGGTTTGGGGGTTCGGGCCCCGCATCAGCCTCTGCGCCAACGGCTGGGAGCCTGCTTGGGACACTTGTGCTCTCTCTCTCTCTCTCTCTCTCTCTCTCTCTGCCTCTCCCCTGCTCATGCTCACTCTCTCTCAAAATAAATACACATTTTAAAAAAATGAAAATGACAACTATCGTTGAGTGGGTCCCTTCAGCGTTTGTGAGGAGACAACCTCCAAACACTCAGGATGGTGACAGCAGAGTATTCAAGCAAGCACAGACCCTTCTGGGTGTGGGGCTCTGTTTTCTCCTCCACCCCTGATGAGAGGGTCTCTGAGCAGGGAGAAAGGGTGCGGGGGGGGGGGGTGGGCCCCAAGGGGGAGGAGGCAGAAGGGAAGACCCCGCTTCCTTGGGGAGCATTCCAGACTCACCGGCTTCGGGTCCAGGCTCCCGCGGGGCAGTGGGGGAGGCAGGCGGAGGGGAGGCGCCTGCGGTCCGCGAGGCCTGGCTCGCCGTGGGGGGCGGGGGCCCGGACACCGAGTCGCGGGACGCAGAGTAGTTGCCGTCCGCCGCCGCCGGAGCCGTGGGAGGGACATATCCAAGAGGCATCCCTGGGGCGGAGGGACGGTGATCACCACGTGCCGCCCTCCAGCCCAGGACCGCCATTGCAGGACGAGGTTGCACGGATGAGGACAAGATGGGGCGAGGCGGCAGTCAGGACGGAAGGAGAGAGGGGCCCGTGGGGTGTTCGCTATGAGACCCCGCGGGCCCCCCCCCCCCCAAGCTTTCCGCACTTCTGGTGGCTCTACCATACCCCCGGCCAGGCGGTCCCTGCTGTCCTCCTCACCGTCACAAACGGCCCCGGCGTCCTCCCGGTGGTGACAGTCGTGCTGGCCCCAGGGCCGTGCTGGGCACAATCGCAAGGCTGTCTCGTTACCCCGACACCGAAGGTCATCCAGGAGGATGGGGCCAGCCCCCTCCCCAAAGAAGGCGCCTCCGGGGGCGGCCAGCGCCCCGCCACAGCCCAGCTCGCGGCAGGCCACGGAGGCGTCCCGCAGGTCCCAGGCGTCGTCACACACGGTCCCCCAGCGCCCACCGTGCCACACCTCCAGGCGGCCGGCACAACCGTGGGGGCCGTCGGCCAGACGGAGCCGGGGGGCTGGACCTGGATGTGGGGAGACGGGGAGAACGGAGAGACGGGAGACTGTGACGGGTGAGCAGGTGTAAGCCCCACCCACGTGCAGGAAACCAGCACAGACACGCGGGTGCCGAGCCATCCGTCGTCCGGGCCGCGCTGACGCTGCGCAGTAGGCACTCCAACTTCAGTTTGCCGGTGAGGAAAAGGCTCCAGGATGGGAAGTCTCTGGCCAAGAGTCCGGCTGTGACCTGCCCGCAATGCCCCTGCCTCCCCGGGGGGCAGGCCCTGGTGACATTGGCCCTGATCCCCTCCATCCACCGCCCTGGCCTGGCCCCCCCCCCCCCCCTGCTCCCCGGCCGCCTGCCTCAGTCTTGTAAAGCAGGGCTTCTCAAGCTCGGCACCAAGGACATCGGGGGACAGGTCATTCCTTGCCGTGGGTCGTCCTGCGACTGTAGGATGTCCAGCAACCTCCCGGGGCTCCAGTCCCCAGATGAGAGTAGCATCTACAGCATGACTGCCGGACTTCGCCCAATGTCCTCTGGGGAGTGGGGGATGGGAAAACCACCCCCCCCCCCCGCCACCGCTGAGAACCACCTGCTACATAGGAACCTCTTCTGGTTTCAGGGTACATTTCTGTTAGGTCTTTCTGGGGTGAGGCCTGGGTCCATTAGGGAGCATGGAGTCCATCTTTCCACCCGCCCCCCCCCTGAGATGGGCTGGGGAGCAAATCACCCCCAGTCAGTGTTCTAGAGACACGAACCAACCAGAGGGGTCAGACACGCCTGTACTTGCATCTGCTCCTAGGAAGCGAGGGGCTCCCCTGTGGGGCCCCCCAGGAATGAAAGGTGTGGTGGGGCACCAAGCTTCCCCAGGCGCCTCATGGGGTTCACTTCTCCCCAGCAACTTAGCCCTCCCTGGAGTCTTAACTTATCTCCCTTCCTCCCCCTCCCTGCCCTCTCCCTCCCTCCTCCCTTCCCACCCCCCACCCCCATCTCCCTCCTCCTTTCCCTGCCCTCCCTCCTCCCTGCCCTCCCCCTGGGACATGGAGGGGGAGGGAATGGAGAGGAGTAGGAGGGAAGAGAGAGAGGGAGGTGGGAGGGGAGGGAAGGGAGAGGGGGAGGAAGGAGGGAGGGGGAGGGTAGAGAGTGGGGAGGAGGGAGAAGGGAGGGGAAGGAGGGAAGAGAGAGGGGAGGAGGGAGGAAAGGGAGAGGGGAGGAGGGAAGAGAGGAGGGAGTGAGGAAGAGGTAGGAGGAGGAGGGCAGGGAGGGGAGGGAAGGGAAGGGAGAGTGGTAGGAGGAAGGAGGGAGGGGGAGGGCAGGGAGGAGGGAGGGCAGGGAAGGGAGGAGGGAGGGGGAGGGCAGGGAGGAGGGAGGGGGAGGGCAGGGA